CCTCTACTCGAGCTTGCTAGCTGGCTGCTTCACCTCCTTTGTGCCTGGTGGGGCTGCCGCTCCGGGCAGCAGCAGACTAATGGACCTGCGCAACCTGCTGACAGCGGTGGCATGCGTGCCCACAGAGAGGGCTCTGAGTGCCGCCTCTGGCACGCGTGCCATAGGTTCGCCACCACTGAACTACAATCTTCTTTCTAAAACAGTTGCCATGTCATAATCATTTCCTTAGTAAAGAACCTTGCATTTGTCTCCAACAGATCTTTCTTTCTTTCTTTCTTTCTTTCTTTCTTTCTTTCTTTCTTTCTTTCTTTCTTTCTTTCTTTCTTTCTTTCTTTCTTTCTTCTCTCTCTCTCTCTCTCTCTTGCTTTCTCTCTTTCTCTCTCTCTCTCTCTCTCTCTCTCTCTCTCTCTCTTCCTCTCTCTCTCTTTTCCTTCCTTTTCTTTCCTTTTTCTCCCCATCTGAGTAAACAACTCTGGGCGGCTCACAATTCAAAAACATATATTACAATTAAAATCTTCAAAACATTTTAAAACAGTAAAAACCATTAAAACAATTCAAAACATTGAAATATCTTTATGCTATTCTGCCTTTTCTCCTACCCTCTCAGGTTGGTTTTGAATGTGGAATCTGCTTTAGAATTTTACCCATCCAGTTGTGTATCATCTGCAAACTTACAGAATTCATCATTCCCCCCCCCCCCAAGTCCTTTTTTAAAAAAAGGTAGAGGACCGAGGGTTGAATCTAGTACCGTGGTGGCGAACCTATGGCACACGTGCCACAGGTGGCACACAGAGCCCTCTCTTGGGCACGCGCAGCGTCGCCCCAGTCCTAGGCCTTCAGCTGGGTTTTATAAAACCTTTTCGCTTTAGGCCTCTGCCACCGTGTGCCCCCCCCCAAAAGGTTCAATCAATCAATCAATTTTAACTTCTCACAGGAAAAAAAAGATCTCACAAAGTTGGGATTGATTGATTGAACTTTTTAGTCCCATCCAGTCTGCCGTTACCACCCGCAGCCACGCCCATCCAATGGGCGATGCCGACCCAAATGGCCACACCCACCTTATGGGCCACACTCACATGGCACCTGACAATACATAAGTGGGTTTTGGGTTGCAGTTTGGGCACTCGGCCTCTAAAAGGTTCACCGTCACTGATCTAGTAACATTCCACCTAATCTCTCTTTCCAATTTGATGAGAAAAAATTGCCATTCGCGTAGCTAAACTGGAATTGAAAAAAGTGCAGGAAACTGACTTGATCCCGGCCAGAAATGGAGATGAAACATTCAGAGATCAAGAAGAGAAAGAAAAAAAGAAAGAAGGAAAGAAAGAAAAGAAAGAAAGAAAACAAACCAATAACTATTATTATAATTTCAAGGAGCTGTTCAAAAGCCAATGATCTCCTTTCCCTCCCCTAGTAAAAACTATCCTCTTCTTCCCACACTGAGTAAACTTGCTGTTCTCTCTCGCATTTAGGGCAATCTTTTTTAAAAGTGGCCCTTCATTCCACATCGAAAACATGTTCTCTCCTTATTCTGGTATCCACCCCGAAATCCTCCAAACCCCCTTCCTCTACTCCCATTAACATAATGGTTCCTTTCATCCCTCCTATATCTTGTCTCAAAGAGACTCTGCTTATCCCCAAACTCTCTTCTAGGAGGTTTTTCCTGCTTCATCACTTGCTGTACTGTTGCTACCATCCTCTTACTTTTCTGCCTTACTTTCTCTGTATCTCTCTGAACATACACTTTCCTCCTTCTCTGGCTGTTGTTGGGGGCCAGGTTCCAATTCCTCCCACCAAACAAAGCAACACAAATTCACCATATCTTCTTTAGTCAAATTTTATCTATCAATTATCTTATTATAAGGCGACTTACCCCAATTACTTAGTAGGAGTCCTAAAGGACTCCCTGTATCTATCCTTAACCTAGGATTCTTCCTAATTTTCTTCACACATTTCCTTTTGGGAACACTATGAGAATTGCCCATACTGGTTTACCATACTGTTATCTTATCCTTATCAACCTAATGAGACCACCTTTCGCTTCACCAAGCTCCTGCTTCTCCCTTTTTCTACACCAATCCTCTCATGAGGGTATGGCAAAAACTGAAGGGTCAGCTCCCACACCGTCTTGCTACCCCCTGTGGTACTTGGGACGTCTAATGCACTCCTCTCACAGATCTCAGATTCAAACAGTCCTACCCAGTCCTCCCCCAACTGCCTAGATGGTTTTCATCTGGCCACCCCAGATATTAGTCACCTAGGTTCGTGCGCGAAGTTACCCGATTTTTCCTGAGGCCAGCAATCTCTATTCCTGGTTCCCTCACCCTTCGTTTCTATTTGCAACTTCTATTTAGGTTCGTAGGGCTCTAGGGTTTGTTCAGCACCCATCACTCCTGCAGTTCGAAGCTAGACTGTCAAACTTGACAGGGCATGCCTTCCACATCATCCTCCAATGAAATCCCATTGAGTCCCAGGTTTCGGCACCAAAATTGTTAGACACAAAAATAGTCACAAACTGAAATCCACTCTGAGTTACAAATAGAAAAGAAGTTTATTAGACTTCACAACAAAGTCTAAAAAAATAACGGTTTGCAAAGCGTGGTGGATTCAGGAAGGGAATGCAATGTAGCCAAGCACTGAACCACACCCCAAATTCCAAAATCACATATTATTATACATCCTATCACGACGCCCCATTCCCTCCCCCATGGCCCCATTGGCTTAGGCTTTGGAGATTACAATCTATCAGAAGCGCCTAAACAGAATACATTATACTAATAAGCTCCCTCCCCTACTATCCTATATCAATTCTAGAGGAGAGATGTCTCCCATCTTCTACACCTGTTAGATCCAGTAGGGGTACCAGGCACCAGAAGGTACTTAAAAACAATTCCTAGATGGTGACTCACACTGGGCCCCATGGTAACTCCTGTTCTCCCCCCTTCCTCCACCTGAGGCTTGTATGTTCCCTATATACTCAAAGCATCTACTCAGGCAATTGATTATACAATGATAATTATAAAATATAAAATATGATTACATGATAATACTAAAAGCATATATATTTTTATTTTTAAATTTCCCCCACATTTTGACATAAAGTCAGCATCCCTTCTGGGAAAATTTGCTTGTAGCCTTCGGTAGCCACATGATATACCCTAGTCCAGTGTTTCCCAAACTTGACAATTTTAAGCCATGTGGACTTCAACTCCCAGAATTCCACAGCCAGCGTTGCTGGCTGTGGAATTCTGGGAGTTGAAGTCCTCATGCCTTAAAATTGTCAAGTTTGGGAAACACTGCACTAGTCAACACTATGGTTTTTTTTTATGAATACAACGCTCATTCCAGATGGTCCTCATTACAGGGAATCCTTGACTTACAACATTTTATTTAGTTTCTGTTCAAAGTTACACCGGCACTGAAAAAAGTGACATGATCATTTTTCACACTTACAACCCTTGCAGTAACCCCATAGTTACGTGATCAATATTTGGATGCTTGGCAAATGATTCACATTTATGATGATTGCAAAATCCCAGTGTCATGTGATCCCCTTTTGCAACCTTTTGACAAGCAAAGTCAATGTGAGGAAGCCAGAGTCACTTAACTGGGTTACTAAATTAACAATTGCAGTGATTCCCTTAATGACTCTGGCAAGAAAGGTAGTGAAATGGTGCAAAATTTACTTAACAACTGTCTTATTGGAAACAGAAATTTTGGGCTCAATTGTGGTCGTAACTCGAGGTGTGCCTGTATTTATATACAGTATATACTCTGTGGGAAGAATCCAGAGAAAGAAATATTTAGGGGAATATTAAAAAGGCAAAATATATTTCCCCAAAAGAATGGTGGAGAAGATCTTTAAAAAGGCAGAAACTTCTCTCCCCCCCCCCCCACTCCCAGCCAGGGAACTCAGCAAAAGCCAGCTTTTAGAAATGCAAATGTAATAATTCTTTCAGAAAAGTTGCCGCCTTCCATCTAGAACAGTGGTTCTCAACCATTCTAATGCCGCGACCCCATAATACAGTTCCCCATGTTGTGGTGACCCCCAACCACTTATACATCACCGGGTGCCAGGGGCGTGGCCAAAGAAAAGGGGGAAAAAATGGCGGACAGCCTTGTTTGGCGACCCCCGTGAAATGGTCGTTCGACCCCAAATGGGGTCCCGACCCACAGGTTGAGAACCACTGATCTAGAAACTGAAGAGATTAGGAAGACAAAGACCCCTAAAATCTACATACCCCACTCTAAAACAGGACATAATAGGATTAACCCACCAATACCAAAAGGGCACACTCAGGCGGAGGTCAAAGTACATGACACAGGAAATACAAACCCTCAAACAGGAACAGGAAACAACCTCAAGAGACCCCAGAAGGTATAAAAGCCCACCATTCTGCTCCATGTGGTCACTTTTTTCCAGAGTCATCTTTCTTTCTGGCTCTCCTCTTCAATAAATTACAACCTTCTTTCTAAAACAGTTGCCATGTCATAATCATTTCCTTAGTAAAGAACCTTGCATTTGTCTCCAACAGATCTTCCTTCCTTCCTTCCTTCCTTCCTTCCTTCCTTCCTTCCTTCCTTCCTTCCTTTCTTCCTTCTTTTCTTTTTCTTTCTTTCTCTTCCTTCCTTCCTTCCTTCTCTCTTTCTTTTTCTTTTCCTTCCTTTTCTTTTCTTTCCTTTTTCTCCCCATCTGAGTAAACAACTCTGGGTGGCTCACAATTTAAAAACATATATTACAATTAAAATCTTCAAAACATTTTAAAACAGTAAAAACCATTAAAACAATTCAAAACATTAAAACATCTTTATGCTATTCTGCCTTTTCTCCTACCCTCTCAGGTTGGTTTTGAATATGGAATCTGCTTTAGAATTTTACCCATCCAGTTGTGTATCATCTGCAAACTTACAGAATTCATCATTTCCCCCCCCCCAAGTCATTTAAAAAATAATAATAAAGGTAGAGGACAGAGGGCTGAATCTAGTAGCATTCCACCTAATCTCTCTTTCCAATTTGATGAGAAAAAATTGCCATTCGCGTAGCTAAACTGGAATTGAAAAAAGTGCAGGAAATTAACTTGATCCCTGCCAGAAATGGAGGTGAAACATTCAGAGATCAAGAAGAGAAGAGAAGAGAAGAAAAAAAGAAAGAAAGAAAGAAAGAAAGAAAGAAAGAAAGAAAGAAAGAAAGAAAGAAAGAAAGAAAGAAAGGACTCCCCATTCAGAGGTCCAGAGGGTATTTATAAAACCAGAAACTGTTTTGATTTGCAATGCCCCATTTTAAGAGAGGCAGCAGAGTTTCCACAGGTGGCCTCTGGAAGTTCCCTGAAGCATCCAGGGGAGGATTTAGAGTTAAGGCCCTGGGTACAAAAGCCGCCTTTTACAACTTGGGCTGATTTCCGAACACGCCTGATTTCCAGGAATCAGTGCAAAGCAGAAACTGAAACTAAACAGGCTGCATAAAAAGCACTCGCATCCGCTCGAGCTTCACAAAAGCATCGAAACCCCTCGCAGAGCGAATATAGCCGGTTTTGGCTCCTCTCCAGTCTGAACTTCAAAGACAAACAAGTTCCGACGTGAGTCTCTCTCTCTCTCTCTCTCTCTCTCTCTCTCGGGGGAGGGGGTATTTCTTATGGTGGTTCTCACGGCGTCTTTTACCAACAGGTGAGCCTCCAGAGGGTCGTGTCCTTAAGGGAGCATAAAACTTTCTCCCGCAGGGGGTGGAAAACACAGAGTATCGGGGGGGGGGGGAGCCAGAGATAGGCTGATTTTCTGGTTATGGACAGTGAACTGAATGAAAGCCCAATGAGAGGATGGAGACAGATTCTGCAGTGGAGGTTGGGGGTGTCCTCATATGAAATGGGGGAAGAGCAGGGAAGCCAGGATTTGGCCGAAGTCTGAAAATTATGCGTCACTGTGCTCCACTAAGAGGTGCCAATAGCTGAAAAGAGTCGTGCAAAGCTGGGAGCAAGGAGGCTGAGGAAACAACCGTGTGTTCCTTTAGGATTTGGAAGCAGATTATGGCGAGGATGTAATTTAAGCTTGTTTCTCTTCTCCGTTCCTGAGTTCACGGAAGGAGGTGGCTGTAAAGTGGCTTTTTCCTTAAATCCCACCTGTTGGTGAAATCTAATTGTACTTTAACTCTTAATACATTCCTGGGTGTCAAAGGAATCTCTTGAATCTGGCTTGAATCAAAGTCCTAGGGAAATGAAAGATGAAGTCAGAATAAGCAAAACAAAATATGCATTCAATTTTCAGTTATTTATTAAATGGATAAGTCATGTTACATTTAACGATGTGAATCTGGCTTGAATCAAAGTCAGAGGGAAATGAAAGACCGGAAGAAGCAAGACAGGTCCTTCATTATTTATCTCCCTTTATGCATTCAACTAAACTATCAATTTATTAAATGTATAAGTCAAGTTCCTGTTTGGGAGGGAGAGACTTACATTGAAAGAAGTGAACGTGTTTCCAGTTAAAACATTGGAAAGCTTGAATTTGACTACGAAGATACATTGAGGTACAGGTAGTTCTTGAAATACAACAATAAATTTCCATCGCTAAGTAAGATAGTTATTAAGTGAGTTTGGCAGCATTTTATGATTTTTCTTGCCAAAGTTATGTGAATCACTGAAGTTGTTAAGTTAGTAACACGGTTGTTAAATGAATCTAGCTTTGCCATTGATTTTGCTTATCAGGAGGCCACAACAGACCTGACCCCATGACACTGCAACTGCCACGAATAGGATTCAGTTGCCAAGTGTCCGAATTTTGGTTACGTGACCAGGGATGTTGTGTCCGGAGCCTGCAAAAGCAGGCTCGGGATGTTGCATTCCCCCGGGCATTCCAAAAGCTGCCCAGGACCAGACAGAGCAGTGCCAGCCTTGTGCGCATACATTGTCCGGGTTTCTGGCCATATAAAAAAGGCCTGCGTGCCTGTTTTTTGATCGGTTGTAGAAAAGAGGAAAATAAAGTGTTTGTTCAGCATCGCCATGTGTCTTCATCATTCGCCTGCGAACGAAGTATATAACAAGGGGGATGCTGCAATGGTTGTTCAATGTGAAAAACTGTCATGGGTCACTTTTTTCAGTGCTATTGTAAGTTTGAATGGTCACTAAATGAATGGTTGTAGGTGATAAGTTGTGGACTATCTGTATTGTGGTTTTACTGTGGCACTAAATGGGATTGTGTAATTAGTTGAAGAATGAATGTATTTGAGACTTCAAAATTTGGTTAAACAGAATTTGCCAGCTTTCAATCTTTGAACAGATTTTGTATTGCCAGAAAGGCAAGATCAGGTAACAGGTCTCCATACAAACTTGGTTTGATTTCTTGTTCAAACATTGACTCTAATAATTTGTGTAACTATGATTTTGCTGATTTTGGCATACTAAGCAAGTAGAAAATATTATTGGAACGTTGTTCTGCATTTTTTTTCTTTTAGCTTTATTGTTTAGGTTTTTTAATCATATAGCTGTTTTCAGTTATTTAGATTGAAGTATAAAAATGTATTCATTTTTATTGCTGGCACTGGTTAAACAACATTTAAAGACTTAATAAACAACATTTAATTAATATTAATTAAATTAATATTTAAAAAATTCTGTCCAGATATGTTGGATGTTAATTCTGTAAATCCCCATTGAATGTGGCCGTTGGGTTGGCTTTGGAGGTTATAGGAGCTAAAATTCAACATTTCTGATAGAAGCAAGCTAAGTACATGTGAAACAAAGGTTCAGAAGTGAATTTCTAAATCTAATTTATGAAAATGCAGCAAGTCAGGCAAATTTTGCATTGTAGGAGATGACCAGACTGAGCCCGAGGGAGGGGTCAAGCACATCATCAGTCTCGAGTCCCTTTGCGCTCACAAGAGATCTAAGGCCAGCGCACCTTGAATTCCGTTGACCCTTATCGACCACCAATCTGCCTTTAACCGTTAGCACTTCAGATTCTTGTAGAGAGTGCTAACATGCAATAAACCTGTATTCATTTCAACCGCCTCAGCTCCTGATTTCCTGTGCTTGGCATGCATATTTCTTAAAAGGAAATTAGCGCCAGTAAAAAAACGTTATGACTGTGTTATCCTGGACGTGGCAAAGTCTTCTAGAACTCCTGAGTTCACTGGGTTCTTTTCCAATCGAGGTATTCCAGAGACTACAGTTTTGACTGTTCAACCTTTCTTCTTCTTCTTTTTGTTTTATCCAGGCCGAAATGGCTGTCCAGCCCAAAGGTGCGCTTGCTACGAGAGCCGTGATGAACATTAGCAAAGCAGAGGAAGTCCGAAAGGAGACAGAACTGATGATGAAGCCCTACGCAAATTGGGAGGAGTATCTGATGCCTGGGCCCATTTCCATCACCCTCTTAGGGGAGCTGGCTTGCATTGCTGCAGGACAAGGAGACTTTGCCATCAATCTTGCCCCACCCGAGGGAGGCTACAAATATATGAGGTATCCGGACTCTTTCCGGGCCTCCCTGATGCAGGTGAGCAACAGTGGGTGGCACGCCTTCAGCATAGCCCACAAGAATATGGATGGTATCCGGCTCCTTTCTATGAGCGTCCCTGAGCAAATCAAGATGGTCATGAAGACCTTATTCCAGAATGACCTTACCTTGATAGATGCCTTGCTCCCTGGACAGCTATCCAGCCTGAAATCAATTGCAAATGAATGTTCCTCTTTGGCTAAGGCAGTTGACAATAAGTTCTATGATGTCATCTGTCTGACTGAGGAACTCCTGGAAGTGTGTATGAGTTCCAAATCACAGTATGAACAAGGACTGACGCAAACCAAACAAGCCTTGGAAGACCTGAAGCAAAGAAAAGCAGCAGCTGAAGAAACCAAGGCCAAAGCAGAGGAATACTACAAGGAAGTAAAGAACAGAGTGACTGATACGTTTGACGATTATAGAAAAGCGATAGATAGCATTCCTACCGGCTGGAGTAGTGTAATTCTGGATTTCACTTCAACTGTAAGAGAAACCTTGACGGTGCCCATTACCTGCCTGACATCCTTGGTCAGCTCTAACAGAAATCAATTGCTTTCTCCAATCGACAGCAGAAGTGAGGAAGAGTTTGAAAGTAGGGATGACTTTATAGCCATGAACAACATCTCTGCCCTGTCAGGTCAAATGGTGGCATTGGTGGACGGTCTTAAAACCGTGGTGGATGATGAAGGTAATATTGACATGGATGTCCTCTACAATAAAAAAAACAATGAAATCAAAACCACATGGATCAAAAAGACATCCCAGCAACTGTTAGAGAAAATAAAAAAAGAAAGAAACTGCAGCCTGAAAAATGTGGCAGTGAAAATATGTAACGATATCATCAAGATTTCCAATATGTTAACTGAAAGAGCAGTATCAGGGAACATAAACCAGAAAAAACTGATAAAGAAAATGAACACCCTCTCGATTGATATTGAGGTTTTCGACAGCAGAAGCAAATTCTGCAGCCGCACATCCCCTTTTGGTCCCATGGCACCAAATATGGCCAAATCCCAGAGAAATGTCCAAGAAGACTCATCGTTGTCATCAGCGATGAAAAACAGCCTTTTGAAAACCGAGCAAACGAAAGAAATACTGAAGATGAGTCAAGAAGAATACCAGAAAAGCTTTGACAACTTAAAGCAACAGAATAAGGATTTGCAGGATGTGCTCAGTGAAATGAGGAAATGTGAAATAAAGGAGATTGATTTTGAAAAAGCCCAAAAGATGCTGATCACAGGCCTGGACGCCATGGGAAGAGTGAAGGAGCAGTGGGAGAAAATGGTGCGTTTCTTCCAGATGATCTCGAATCTCATTGATTCCTGTCTCAATAAGCGCCTGACGGAATTTGTGAAATTGGCCGAAGATCTTCCCCAAATTCCAAATTATTCTCACCAAGACTTTATCATAGATATGATCTATAAACAGGCCTTCAATGCGTCCAACATAGCTCATTTGGTGCACATGATATCCGAGACCTACACAGACGTGTCTTCAAAATACCTGATGGATAATGTGGGCAGCCTGAGCAGGCTTATTTCTATGGACCCTTCTAATCCCCAATTCCAGATGGAGCGGAACAAACTAAAAGACGGCTGTGACAATGCCCAAAAAGCGATAGAGGACTTGGTCATTAAGCAAAAGAAAGAATTTGAAAATAACATCCATGCCAGAGTGGCCAAAATCAATTCTGAGCTGAAGGCTGTCATGCCAGAAGTGCCGGAAGCTGAGAGGAAAGCGATCGAACAGAATGTGCACAAAGGAATGAGGGAAATCACCGAGGATGAAGCTGATCAATTCATGTAGAAATCTCTTTCAAACTATGAGGGAAATGGAGGCAGTCTAGGCCAGGGGTAGGCACCTTTGGCTCTTTTATGACTCGTGAACTTCAACTCCCAGAATTCGTGAGCCAGCATAGCTGGCTCAGGAATTCTGGGAGTTGAAGTCCACGAGTCATAAAAGAGCCAAGGTTGCCTACCCCTGGTCTAGGCTCTTCTGTATTATTGCAGTCTGTTCTGTCTGGAACAGAATAAGATCCTTTCAAAAATCATCTTGGCTGATCATTTCTGAGGTAGGGCTCATGTTGGCTCCTACTAAATATTTCTATTTTTGTTTCTCCTTTAGTGCACCAGTTACCTCTTTTCCACTTCGATCAATTTTTATGGACTAATACCTCTCCCTCTGTCTGCTGATCTGCTTACTGGTTTGTCTGCCCTACCACTCCTCTCTTTTTGGGCTGTTTCTGGTGGAGGAAAAGCTGAAGTGTGTTTCGTGTGCTTCTCTTTTTACCATACTTTGTATCTCTAGGATAGAGAAAGGGGTTGGGATATGTACTGTATGTAGCTTGAGTTCAATATTAAAAATGTGATGTCCAATTTCATTCATTGCTGTTAATTCTATTGTCACTACAGGCTTCCTTCATTTTTGGAGTGATGGTACAATCAAGTCTCTCTCTCTCTCTCTCTCTCTCTCTCTCTCTCTCTCTCTCTCTCTCTCTCTCTCTTTCATATATCCATGCACACACATTAATTGGGGGATGAATACAATGTCTACATTTTTTTCCTGGGGTTAGCAATTTTAGGTCTGTATTTCTTTGGAGATGCTTATCAATTAACAGAATAACAGAGGGACCATAGAGGTCTTCTAGTCCAACCCCCTGCTGGATCCAACAGCCTGATCTATCATCTCTTAGAGATATGGGTGCTTGGATTACTCTGCTCACTGAAATATAGGTAATAGATTCTCAGTTTTCCCGGCTTCTTGAGTCCTTCTAACACCTTTTCATATCACTTTGGTACAGCTCAAGAACGGCTAGATTCTAACAACCACCCCTAATTTACTTTCTGCAAATAAACTTTAAGATAGCAAATCTTAAGAACAAGGCATTGTAAAAATGTTAATTTTTAAAGAAGGGATCCCTTTTCATCAAAAGCTGATGATACAACTGTACCTAACGAGGAAAAGAGTGCTGGTTTAGAGAGATACTCTTCAAGTACTTTTAGACGGTAAGTTTCCAGGAAATCAAGAGAAAGGGGTTGATCAAATCAGCCAGAATGAACAGAGTAATTAAACATTGAGTTTTGGGCTAGATAATAAGAATTTCTTTTATTTGGTTGTTAATCATACAGTTATTATCTGCTATTACACTATGTTGTTTTCCATACTGTTGTAATCTTAAGACTGAAATAGGATTTTTTAACTCTTTTTGCCGTTCAATTGTTACTTTTACATGTTAATATTTCTTTTACTGATTCATTACAGCTTTTCTGCAACATATAAGAACTATGTTAGTCATTCTGAAGTTACTAAACATTATAGTAAACAACTCTCCTGCATTAAATTCTTGCTTTTATGCTAGAAAGAGTCAATAAATGTCTATTCTCTAAAATTGGCCTGGGTTTAATATCTTGTTGACTTAACATACCACAACACAGCAGAGCTTCTAAGTGTCCATGGAGATTCTCCGTCATCCCGGTCATGGCTGTCCCAAAGGCGCCTTTTCAAAAGGCAACTGGACTTTCTTGTTTTTCTTTGAGGACGTTTCGCTTCTCATCCAAGAAGCTTCTTCGGCTCTGAACCTGAAGAAGCTTCTTGGGTGACAAGCGAAATGTCTTCAAATAAAAGCAAGAAAATCCAGTTGCCTCTTGAAAAAGCATCTTTGGGTCAGCAGAGTTTCCCGCTGGAACAACGGTGTGAATATCAGGGGCAGCGTACATTTCCATCATCATGTTTACCAGATCTTGAAAACAAAAATATATGCGGGAAGGATATAATGATACGGATTTCTTTCCTTGATAGGGTGGAAACTATAGGGTGTTTGGTAGTGCCTATTTTCAGTGGTTAAAATTACAAAAAATAATAATTAGCATGCAGAGTTCTCTAGTTCCAGGTAAGGCTCTCTTTATCTGGCCCTTGGTAGAAAGAAGGCAGTGGCAATTGTTATAAAACCAAAGTAACAAGGATGTTGTTTCTAAATAAAGGTAATCCAATAGCAATCCGTTTTCCAGCCTCAAATA